TATATATATATATATATATATATATATATATATATAGTGAAGAATAAAGGAGCACACTTACGAAAATTTGATAATTGTTTACTCTACGTTTCGGCCGTGGCACAGGCTTACGCTTCGTGTCTACTTCCCACCTTTAACCACCCCGAGTTCATGGTATATACCAGTTCACTGTATTCATGGCACTTCAGTCCGATCCTGACGAAGGCCGTGCCACGGCCGAAACGTAGAGTAAACAATTATCAAATTTTCGTAAGTGTGCTCCTTTATTCTTCACTATATTTGCACCGGACCCACAGAATTTCTTTTTTGAATCATTATATATACATACATATATATATATATATATATATATATAGGAGAATAAAAGGAGTTTGACTCACAAGTGAAAAGATTTTTTACTTGACGTTTCGACCGTGGGCCCGGCCTTCGTCAGAAGGATATATATATATATATATATATATATATATATATATATATATATATATATATATATAATGAAATTTCATGCCATGACATTTCACGCATAACCTACTAGTAATGCTGTCCGAAGGTGCGTCTTTCATAAAGGTAAAATTGAAAGCGACATTTCCTGATTCATGCGAAGCATCTGTCCATCCATTCGTTCCTGCGTCCGTCCGTCCATGTGTCCGTCTGTGTGACCATCCGTGCATCCATCCGCCCGTTCGTGCGTGCGTCTGTTCGTGCGTCCGCACGTCCATCCGTGCGTCAATCCCTGCGTTCGTCCATGCATCCACCCCTGCATCCATCCATGCGTCCATCCGTCCCTGCAGCCATCCATGCGTCCGTCCATGCATTTGTCTGTGTGTCCGTTCATCCATCTAGTCAACACTCCAAGTACCACCATATCGCATCTTTTCATCATATAGTTTCCGCATATAGAAGTACCGCCATCCAGTGGACATTCCAAGGACTAAACAAGAGGTGGCACACGCACACTTTCTTACGGCTTGCGCTTCGTGTCTACTTCCCACCTTTAACCACCTCGAGTTCATGGTATATACCAGTCCACTGTATTCATGGCACTTCAATCCAACGTTCACTAAACCTTTCTAAAACCAAGGAGGTTATGCCCAGCGAGTATAACGAAGCAACCCTTTCTTGTGAGATAGTACTCAATATACATGCGAATGGCTGCTAATGGGGAATGAGAGACAGGAGAATTCGGGTTTTAGCTTACGCGCACGCTGCGAATTTTTTAATTGCGAAGCATTGCTTAGCGAACTTCAGGGACTTTGAGCGTATCTACCTATCTATCTATATATCTATCTATCTATCTATTTATCTATCTATCTATCTAGCCACCTATGACTTTTAGCTCTCCTGCCCGTTTCGCTCATGCTATCAATACCAAACTTTGTATGACATAATATGACTGTATGAAGAACATATATGAGTAGTGATAACACTAAAATCATGACAAGTATGTCATGAATGCCATGATTTACTTTTTACGGTCCTGCAGCTCTTGCGGTGGTTTCGTTCACGTGGCATGCTGCAAAATTGATATGGTATGGCATTATTGCATGGCGAACACAAGCGACAGACCGTAACATGGAAATTATGACATGCGTGTCGTGTAACAACATGTCTACACGCCACGCTCATGTGCGCTCGTGGCCGTTTCGCTAGCGTGACATATACCGAATTCGGCATTACAGTACGTGAATTGCTGATGAAGGTATGTGACTGGTGCAAACATGATAATCATGAGATGTGTGTCGTGAAACAACATGACTACATGCCACGCTCATGATGCGCTCGTGGCCGTTTTGCTAGCGTCACATAAAATTTGATATTACAGTACGTGAATGGATGATGAAGGTATGTGACTGGTGAGAACATGATAAACATCAGATGCGTGTCATGTAACAACATGACTACATGCTGCGCTCATGATGCGCTCGCGGCAGTTTTGCTAGCTTCCATGTACGAAACTCGGTATCACGCGACACGAACGGACGACATAAGTAAATGACACATCCAAACATGATAATCACGACATGCGTGTCATGTGACAACATGACTACATATGCCACACTGATGATGCGCTCGCGGCCGTTTGGCTATCTTCACATATGCCACAATAGGTATTACGTGACGCCAACGGATGACGTTGGTATGTGACTGGTGCTAACATGATAATCATGATATGAATGTCATGTGAGAATATGACTACATGCCACAGTGACGGCGCCAATACATTTCGACATGACGTGGTGTGCATGCTTTCCGGCGTTCACTTCGTCGCGTCACGCCTGCGTTGCCACGTCAGGCGCCGGTCCTGCCATATACTCGCAGGCGCGCGCTGCGCTGCGTTGCTTTGACGCATGCGCGTTTCAGCGCGTCCGGCATCCTTCGGTCACGAGAAGAGGGAGATGCAGTGTTTTCTGGGTAACGCATCGGCGCTAAATGCTGCATGTCGCCTATCGCTCCGGTCGCCGTCAGGCCGCATCGACGAACGCTGGTCGCACCTGTCGTCCGATTATAAAGTGCTCGCATTTTGCTAACGTAGCGACGCTGTGCTCAGCGTGCGCGCGCGTCAACGCTACATTGGAGTATATTGGGCCTTTCATAATTCGCTCGCGGCCATTTTGCTAGCTCCACATATACCAAATGTACTGTTACGTAACCTAAATGAATGACAAAATATATGAGTGTTGCAAACATGATAATTCTGATATGTGCTTCATGTCAGAACATTACAACATACCACGCTCATAGCGTACTCACGGCCGTTTCGCTAGCTCTACATATACTAAATTTGGTATCACGTGACGTGAATAGATGACGAAGGTTAACGGCACATCCAAACATGATAATCATGACAACGAATACATGTACGGCATCATTTACCTCCACCTCGCAACGTTGTGCTGATTGAAGGTGACATATCAACAGTTCTCATTCGTGCTTCGCATATCATCGATTCCCACTGTACGTGGGATCTGTCAATTTTTATTGTTCAACAACGCACAGGAGAAAGCTCCCCCCGGCACCACCTTGCAGGTCAAAGTAACACGTGTGACGCACTACTACGAGGGACGAACGGGTGCCGCTTTAAAGAGCTTTGCCTCTAGAAACGCCGGGCCCCTCAAGCACAAACAGGCGCTCATGCTGACGTGCTCCATTGCAAGCAGATGCCCGCGCTTTTTGTGATTTCACCATGGATGCTGGGGCTAGAAAGACGAGCCGACGAACTCGTCCGCTGTAAGTTCTTGCACAGCTGCAACGCCAGAACTTAAGTCCACGTGGTTTGCCAGGGGTTATCCGTTTTTCGCCACAAGGATACGCGTAGATACACAACGAAAGTCACTCGACTAAGCCACTAAAGCTTCCGTTTGAAAAGAGTGTTCCACTTTTGCAAGCAGCCGAGCAGCGCTGGCTCTGCTTGGCTGCTGCTGTAATAAGTGTACCGGCGGTGTACCGAGTCTTTGCGATGTCAGTGCACGTTGAAAAACACATGATGGTGGCAATTTTCGGAGCCCTCCATTGCAGCGTCTCTCATAACACTATCGTAGTTTGGGGACGTGAACCACTCATATTATTGTGATGAACAGCAGTGACTACTACTCTTACATGCACAGAAACACCCAACAAAATGATGGGAAGAAGACCACGACTTACTTTCTTGACATATCTACCATAGTTACCATACTACACGAAAAACGACTACAAATGCCTATGTAACCTCGCTGACTTGATTACTTGTTTGTTTTTTGTTGTGTCATAACGTACGAGTCATTTGTCAACTTGGTGAACACGATGCGTGCTTCTTTTGTTGTTGATAATTATACTTCAGGTGTAGCATGCTTTCAACGTGTCTCTCCGCACTCGTGGTAGGAACAGGGGCCTGCTTTATATCGGGTAAATTTATATCGGGTAAGTGGATCTGATGTATCCTAACTGCCTGCATCTAATAAACAAAGCAACATTAATGCCAGATGCATAAAAATAAATCTTTGGTCCTTAGTATAAAATATCTTCATTCGCGAATACGTAAACCCAAGTGCCATATGCACAACCACGAAACAAATATATTTTTGCTATTTACTTAAGGATATGCGTACCATATTGTGTGCGCAACTGAAGCGTTGGCATTGCCCTTTCCTAACCCTTGTGCGGTTTTAGCTTTGAGCTAAATGCGTGGGGGCCGAGACATTGGCACCCTTCATGCAAACTTCTCGTTTAGCTGAGCTCCACATGATTGCTATAGCCCATATTCGCACTTGGTGAACTTTTCTAAATCATGTTCATATTTTAACGTGTGCATAACTATATGAATGCATGCATGAAAAGTGTCAGCATTCTGTAGTAATAGGACTACACCCATAGCCAGAGGCAATCGAATGGTCCGGTGGTTTCAATTTAGTAATATTTTATATTACTAATGTCAGATATTTAATTCTTTTGATGCCACTTCACCAAAGACAGAGAGTAGCGCGCTTGCACGCTGTTTTTCTTCATGAACAACCTAATTTCAACGTATGGCTATATGCCCAGATAGTTCGTGATAGTTCGCATCAAGTCATATGAAACTGCCGTAAGTGCAAAGCACATGGTCGGGCTATTATGAAGCTACACACTTTCTGAACTTTACTCTGCATGAGGACTTTAATTAACAAAAAGATAAACCCCTTTTCTGCTTTTACGCCACTTCAGCCTAAGCTTAAGCAAATGCTATACAACTATTTCTTTGTTTTCTTTTTTCTTGGAGCAGCCATATTGACTTCTACCCCTTGGCACATACATCTTACAATGTTTACTACACCATACGTGCTACATTGCAGTGTGTAGATCAAAACAATCTGGCAGCTAAACAATATTGATTATAGTGTTTGCGCTGACATTCATAAGCATGTGAGGCAGCAGAATATACGTTGGTGGCTTTTCGCATGCCACCATGACACAACAGGTATCCTCAACACAATTGACTTATTCTCCAACAGTGTACCCAAACTAACCGATTTAAACCTACTTACCGCCCTCCACGAAAAACCTGACCAATCCAGATGTAGGCCCAGGCATCCCAGTCATAAGGACTTCTTCCCTGCACATACGTTGTAAACGCAGCATTTCTTGCAGGTTTTAAATGCCAAGCATTTCTTAGCGAACTTCGGCGACGTTGAGCGTATCTATCTATGTATCTATCTATCTATCTATGTATCTATCTATTTATCTATCTATCTATCTATTTATCTATCTATCTATCTGTCTGTCTGTCTGTCTATCTTTCTATCCATGTATCTATCTATCTATCTATCTATCTATCTATCTATCTATCTATCTAGACGCCTACGAGTTTTAGCTTTCGTGGCCGTTTCGATAATTGTATCGATACCAAACTTGGTATGGTATAACATGACTATGAAGAACATATCTCAGTAATCATGACATGAAAATGAAGTCATGTATGTCATAAATACCATGATTTACATTTCATGGTGCTGCAGCTCTTGCGGTAATTTCGTTCACACGGCATGTTGCGAAATTGCTATGGTATGACATAATTGCATGGCGAGCACAAGCGGCAGTTCCTAACATAAAATTCATGACATGCGTGTCATGTGACAACATGACTACATGCCACGCTCATGATGCGCTCGCGGCCGTTTCGCTAGCGTCATATATACCACATTTCGTTTTACATTACGTGAATGAATGCCGAAGGTAAGTGACTGGTGCAAACATGATAATCATATGAGATGCGTCTAATGAAACAACATGACTACATGCGACGCTCATGATGCGCTGGTGGCCGTTTCGCTATAGGTTCACTTATACCAAACTTGGTATTACGGCCCTTGAATGGATGACGAAGGTCTGATGCTGGTGCAAACATAATAATCATGATATGCGTGTTGTGTACCAACATGACTACATGCTACGCTCATGATGCGCTCACGGCCGTTTCTCTAGCTTCACATGTACGAAACTCAGTATTACGTGACGCGAATGGACGACATAGGTAAATGACACATCCAAACATGATAATTACGACATGCGTACCATGTAACAACATGACTACCTGCGACACTGATGATTCACTCCCGGCCGTTTCGCTAGCTTCATAAATGCCCGATTTGGTATCACATGACGCCAATAGATGACGAAGGCATGTTGCTGGTGTAAACATGATAACCATGAGATGCATGTCATGTGCGAACATGACTACATGCCACAGCCAAGGTGCCAATACGTTTCGACGTGACGCGCTAAGCGTGTTCACCGGCGTTCATTTCGCCGCGTCACGCCGGCGTTGCCACGCCAGGCGCCGGTCCTGCCAAATACTCGCAGGCGCACACCGCGCTGCGTTGCTTTCACGCATGCGCGTTTCAGCGCGTCCAGCGTCCCTCTGTCACGAAATGAGGGAGACGCAGTGTTGTCTGCATAACGCATCAATGTGAAATTCCGCATTTCGCATCGGTTGCCGTCGGTCCGCGCCAACAGACGCTGGTGGCGCCTGGTGTCAGGCAATAGAATGCTCGCGTTTTGCTAACGTAGCGTCGCTGAGCCCAGCGTGCGCACGCGTACACGCTACACTGGAATATATTGTGCCCTTCATGATGTGCTCACCGCCGTTTCGCTAGCTTCACATATACAAAATTTGGTGTTACGTACGTCAATGGATGACGAAAGTATATGACTGGTGCAAACAAGATAATCCTGACACGCGTGTGATGCAAGAACATGACAACATATCCTGCTCATACCGTGCTCGCGGTTGCTTCGCTAGCTCTACATATACTAAATTGGGTATCACGTGATGTGAATAGATGTCGAAGGTAAACGACACATTGAAACTTGATAATCATGACACGGAAGTCATGTACGGCATGATTTACCTCCACCTGAAGACGTTGTGCTGATTATAAAGTGACATATAAACTTTTCTCATTCGTGCTTCGTATATCATCGATTTCCATAATACGTGGGAACTGCCAATTTATTTAGCCGTTTTCAGACGTGACGTAGCTCCGAGGAAGAATACTAGACTGTCACGTGGAATGCTTTGGTTCGATTGCTGTTGGAACCTTGATATAGATTTTTGTTTAATTTTTTGAGGTAATGGTGCTGATGGTGGTTTATCTTAATGCTCTTTCATTTGATTCACCAATCTATACTCTCGCGTTTCCTTGGTGGTTGTGAACTGTCGGTCATTGGTGGCGCCTATACCGCGTACCACCGCCGGTGTAGTGTACGTGTATGGGCCACATGTGTATGCAGCAAAAGATCTGACAATGCACACGAAATAATTTGCACGTTCTTCACGCCATTACTAGCAAGATATATTCATCAAAGCGCCCAGACTTAGGCGCATAGACAGACTGATAGACAGATAGGCACGGAATGACAGACAGACAGATAGACGTAAAATAACAGACAGACAGACGTGGAGTGACAGACAGACAGACAGACAGACAGACAGGCAGACAGACAAACACACAGACAGACAGACAGACAGACAGACAGACAGACAGACAGACAGACAGACAGACAGACGTGGAATGACAGACAGACAGATAGACCTGGAATGACGGACCCACAGACAGACATACAGATAGACGTGGAATGGCAAACAGACAGACTGACAGACAGATAGACGTGGAATGGCAGACAGACAGACAGACAGACAGACAGACAGACATACAGACAGACAGACGGACGTGGAATGACAGACAGACAGATAGACCTGGAATGACAGACAGGCAGGCAGACAGAGAGACAGACGTGGAATGACAAACAGATGGAGCTGGAATGACAAACAGACAGACAGACAGACAGACAGACAGACAGACAGACAGACGTGGAATGATAGATAGACAGCCCCACAGACAGACAGACAGATAGACGTGGAATGACAGACAGACAGATAGACCTGGAATGACGGACAGACAGACAGACAGACGTGGATTGACAGACATACCGACAAACAGACAGACAGATAGACGTGGAATGGCAAACAGACAGACTGACAGACAGATAGACAGGGAATGACAGATGGACAGGCAGACAGACAGACAGACAGAAAGACAGACAGATTGATTGATATGTGGGGTTTAACGTCCCAAAACCACTATATGATTATGAGAGACGCCGTAGTGGAGGGCTCCGGAAATTTAGACCACCTGGGGTTCTTTAACGTGCACCCAAATCTGAGCACACGGGCCTACAACATTTCCGCCTCCATCGGAAATGCAGCCGCCGCAGCCGGGATTCGAACCCGCGCCCTGCGGGAAAGACAGACAAACACACAGATAGATAGATAGATAGATAGATAGATAGATAGATAGATAGATAGATAGATAGATAGATAGATAGATAGATAGATAAATAGATAGATAGATAGATAGATAGATAGATAGATAGATAGATAGATAGATAGATAGATAGATAGATAGATAGATAGATAGATAGATAGATAGATAGATAGATAGATAGATAGATAGATAGATAGATAGATAGATAGATAGATAGATAGATAGATAGATAGGTAGATAGATAGATAGATAGATAGATAGATAGATAGATAGATAGATAGATAGATAGATAGATAGATAGATAGATAGATAGATAGATAGATAGATAGATAGATAGATAGATAGATAGATAGATAGATAGATAGATAGATAGATAGATAGATAGATTACTCTAAATGGTCACAGTGCATTTGGGTCACTAACAAATGCTTCGCATATCAAATAGAACACCACTGATTGAAGAATAAATGAATATTCAATCCCTTGCTTATTACGAATAGATAGTGAAACTTAACAAAACAACGCTTTCTTTCACTTTCATTCTTGAAATGCATAGTTTATTGGCAACGAATTATATTATGGGAATTTGACACATTTGCAGAAAGTGTACAATAATTCATGGCTAAATGCATTATGCTTCAATCTCGAGAACTGCGGTTTTTAGATCAATAAATCCTGTTTGCTCGTTTTCTTGTCTTTTCTTCTATTTATTGCAAGAATGTAAGATACGTGAAAAGAGTGTGATATTTTAAGCTGTTTAAAGACTTCGGCATCCTGCATGAAATTATTGTTAAACTACACAAGGCCTGCTTTATTCTAAGCTTTTCTGGTTTGGAAGTACTCATCCTGTGCATTATGCATGTTACAATTTCGCCGAAATTATTTTGCGTATATCAGTTAAACATCTTCAGCGAGCTTGTTTTCACATTTGCGTTCTCCTTTTGAGCTACTTTCAGGGCCTTTTGCTCAAGTTGGAAACTTGCTGACTTGTTGCCCCGCCGTGGTACTCAAGCGGGATATTCCCGGCTGTGGTGACTGCATTTTCGATGGAGGCGAAAAAGCTGTAGGCCCGTGTGCTCATATTTGGGTGCTCGTTAAAAGAACTCCAGATGGCAGAAATTTCCGAAGCCCTTTACTACTTCGTCTCTCATAATCATATGGTGGTTTTGGGACGTTAAGCCTCGCATATCAATCAATCAATTGCTGACTTGTTTTGTAGCTCTTTTTATCTCTTTTCGACCAGGAAACCCTGGCCGGCATAAATAAAGTCATACTTACTTGGGCGAACCATCCACCCCTTGAATGGTCCAAACATACTTGAATGTTCGTGCCTCATAGTCAACTTCCGTTCTGTTGGTCAAGAGGCAGTCGAAAATGGTGTCATTGTCCGAATCGGATATCGACATCGCATCTTTGTACTCCGAAACCACCTGCGTTTGTTAGGGTCAAAAAGCAGCTCTTATTCAGAAAACAACCGCAAGCATTGCAAACAACGACAATGCACTGACCAGAGTTCAGCTATCATGTCCGCGTAAGCGTCATACACGTACCGTCCGACGACATCGCATTAGGACCAGTACCGCTCGGGATCCTATAAAATCTGGTAAGTAAACGCCAATGTATACAAAAGCTACAACCAATTAAGCGTGCCAAGCCTCGAGCACTGCAAGTTATTTAGGACAATGGTAACCGACGTAACAAACATACGATATATTAATACACTGCTCCAGTTGTGTTTCGGAAGTGTTCAAAAATAAGCTCCCTCCATTTTGCATTTACTGCAATCTCTGCCGCACTTTTGGATCACATCATTGAAATTCCAAATATCCAAGAGGACCACTGCATTAGAGCTCAATAGGTTAGCGTTAATTGTGACTACACCCTAATGTATTCGTGAAGTGTGCGATTAAAGTAAGGTTAAATTGTAGCAGATTCAGTTCTTTTTTTTTTTTAGTCGAAATGGGGAGTGGGCAGGACTCTTGTTCATAGGAGAACCTAATCGATGGTCCCTTAGCATGCGGTACCTCAAAAACGTCCGGAAAGTCGTAGTGCTTCTTGAGTGGCCCTCCCGGGGCTCCGAGCTTGGCCAGGACAGTATTTCCGATGCAAAGAAAAGACAGTGCGAGCGTAAACGCGTTTGCACTCATTGCAATAATACTCTGAAAGCAGTTCTCTGTAGCATGAGCCCTTTTATAGGTGTTTATCAATTTCGCCTAATTGATACAACTGGACGGCTGTGCTATTTCTTTCCCTGTGGGCATTATTTGTCCTTGTTTCAGACGCAGCGAACGCTCCGACACATCATGAACGTCCGCCGAGATGACTCCATACGACAATAGGCAACACGTGTATAAAGTGTACCCATCGCTCAAAAGCTGTCACGTTGCCAAGTAAAAGACAGCTTATTAGTTTTGATAAATAAAAAATACAGTTTGAAATAAAGTGATAAGGTTTTTTTGTTATTTTTATCTTGACCAGTAAGTGGATCCGTTCAACAGGTGGCTTTTAAGGTGCACTCACACATGTTCGCTTTGTACTGTTGCGAGGAAACCCTATCAACTGACAAGTGAATAAGCTCATTTTCAGAACACCATTGCGATCTCAAGTTGCGCAATGTAGCTCTACATTTTAATGAAGCCATACAGTTATTCTTCAGTGAGACATGCTGGACTTCGTTGTGCGAAAAAATTATGTATACTTTTTTTGTTGTAGAAATTTGTTACAGACCTAAAGGCACGCCTAATATATCGTCACGCACCAAGAGTCATGAAGACAAGACAGGAACAGCGGGGCAGAACGACACGAGCGTGTATCTTTTTAACGAAGCCCTAACACACACTTCTTTCTCTTTGCCCTTTTTTGGTTCGCTAAGGCTTGCCGGCTCACAACTCTAGGTGGCATTATTCCCCCTCCCATTAGAGTATCGACTCCATGCTTGTACACATGCAAACAGCAGGGCCCATAAGGGTAAAAAAGAAAGAGAGAAACGATACTTATAGTGCACAGGGCATATGCAGGTGCGAAAAAAATGCCTGTGGTTGGTCATAAAAAAACATTAACACAGTCCAAAGTTCGTTCGAGACCCTACAGACAATGTAAACAAAAAAAGAAAATGTTTGCTGCCCGGGCACAATAAGGTGAGTATTAACGCGCAAAATGAGGTTTTAGGCGGATGACATGCACAGTTTCTGTTCATGGTAAGTGGCACTGGGTCGTTGCCGAGCCTCCGTCTGAAATAACTTCATAGTTGACCTCGTTCAACCGCCATAATACTTTGTAGGGTCTGAAGTACTAGCTCGGGAGTTTCTCGCTGAGACCTCGCCGTCTAACAGGAGTCCGAATCCACACTTGGCCACCAGGTTGATATGTGACTGGTCGATGATGAATATTGTACCTTCGGACGTCTTCAAATTGCTGCGATCTTATGTGCACGCGAGCTAGTTGACGTGCTTCCTCTGCACGCTGAATATAATCCTCCAAATTAGGAGTTAGCAGCTCGTGCTGGTCGATCTCACAAGGAATCATGGCGTCTACATGGTTTGCACGTCTAGACCGTAAACGAGGCGGAAAGGTGTGAACCTTGTCGTTTCCTGGGTTGCGGTGTTGTACGCATACGTTATGTACGGCAGGATCTCGTACCACGTTTTATGCTGCACATCCACATACACAGAAGTCATGTCCGCCAGCGTTCTCTTTAGCCTTTCTGTCAAGCCGTTACTCAAGGGGTGTTATGTGGTTGTCTTACGGTGGTTCGTGTAACTGAGCTTGAAGATGTCGTCCAACAGTTTTGCCGTAAACGCTGTCCCTCGGTCAGTGATGATGAATGACGGGGCGCCGTGACGCAGCACTATGTTTTGCATGAAAAACTGAGCGACTTAAGATGTACCGTGTGGCAGTGGCTTCGTTTCAGCGTAACCCGTCAAGTAATCAGTTTCGACGATGATCCCCTTGTTTCCAGAGTGAGACAAAGGAAACGGTTCAGAGAAGTCCATCCCAACTTCGTCAAACGGCGTACCTGGTGGTTCAATGGGTCGTTTGAGGCCTGCAGGCTTTGCAGGTGGTGACTTGCGATGCTGACATTCGCGGCATCTTTTCACGTAGCGTTTGACACAACCTGCGATTTTTGGCCAGAAATATAGCTTTCGTACCCGGTCGAGCATCCATGAGTATCCCAGATGGCCGGATGTCGGCTCATCGTGGCAGGCTAACAGGATGTCATCACAGAGATCTTGAGAAACGACTAGAAGATAAGATCTGCTGCCGACAGCGTTGTTTTTCTTGTATAATATGCCATGTCGTAAGCAAAATGACGGCAACGCACGGGAAAGTGGATGAGGAGCAGACGCGGTGCTGCCTTCTAAATGATCGATGATGGGCCTTAACTCGGGGTCCGCTCGTTGCTTACTGAGGAGGTCCGCCACACTGAGAGTCCCCAGGAAGGCACTGTCATCTTCTGCAGCTGTATGGTCGGATTCCAGAGGTGCTCGTGATAGCGTGTCGTCGTCGTCATGCTTTCTACTCGACTTGTATACGATGGTGACATCGAACTCCTGAAGTCACAGACTTTATCGTGATAATCGCTCAGAGGGGTCTCGGAGGTTAGTCAACCAACATAAAGTGTGGTGATCAGTCACAACTTTAAATTGGCGCCCATATAGATAAGGCCTGAACTTTGTAATCGCCCATAGTACCGCAAGACATTCTTTTTCTGACGTTGAATAATTGGTTTCGGCACGTGATAGAGTGCGGCTCGCGTAGGCAATCACACATTCGGTCCCATCTTGTCTTTTCATCAAGATAGCTCCGAGACCAATGTTGCTTGCGTCAGTGCGCACCTCTGTGTCAGAGTCCTCATCGAAATGACCAAGTACAGGAGGGGAAGACAATCGATTTTGCAGTGCCCCAAAGGCAGTCGCTTGTTCGTCAGCCCACAGAAATGGGGTGTCATCACGCGTAAGTCTGATGAGTGGCTCCGCAATATTAGATAAGTTTTCAATAAAGCAGCGATAGTATGCACAGAGCCCCAGAAATTGCGAAGACTTTTCTTGTCTGTCGGAGCTGGAAAACCCACAGCGCCAGTCTTCTCGGGATCGGGCCAAACGCCTGCAACGCTCACAACGTGACCCAGGAACTTCAGTTCTTTGTAGCCGAAATGGCACTTCTCAAGCTTGAGGGTAAGGTCAGCGGATCGTATAGCTTCAAGAACACTCCGAATACGAAGAACGTGCTCGTCAAACGTTCTTCAAAAGACAACGACATAATTTAGATAGACGAGGTAACTTTTCCACTTGAGGCCAGTGAGAACGGTATCCATCATTCGTTGGAATGTGGCCGCACCGGAACAGAGACAGAATGGGAGCACACGAAATTCATACAGACCGTCAGGAGTTACAAAAGCAGTTTTTTCGCGGTCATGTTCATCAACTTCAATCTGCCAGTAACCATTTTTGAGGTCGATTGAGGAAGGGTACTTTGCTTAACTCAGCCTCTCAATAGAATCATCCACTCGAGGCTACGGGTACACGTCTTTTTCGTGACGTTATTCCGCTTCCTATATTCGACACACATGCGAAGTATACCATTCTTCTTCTTTACAAGGACCCCTGGCGATGACCAAGGGCTGCTTGATGGCTGTATTACACCGTCTTGAAGCATTTCCTGCACTTGCTTTTGAATCACGCATCGCTCGGTTGGTGAAACACGGTAAGGCTGTTGCCGTATAGGGTGCGCGTCGCCATAGGTGATAATACAGTGTTTGGTAATCGATATCTGACGGATTCTTGATGAACGTGCAAAACAGGCGTGGAATTTCATCAGCAGGTCGTTAAGCTTGCGTTTGTTTTTGTCAGAAAGCGTTGGATATATGTCGACCCAACGGAGAGGTGTTTGAGCATTATCGGTTGCCTCGGAAGCCAAACACTCAGTCACATTGGTTACTGGGTAGGCCTAGGCGATGACAGTACCAGGGAAAAGTGTCGGTGCTCGTAGCTGAGGTTTGTAACAAGAACCTCGTAGTGGCCAGCCTGGAAGTCTACTAGGCTTCGTGCTACGCAGACACCTTGGGAAAAGTATAGGGATCGATTGCTCTCCACCACCATTTCACCTTGTGCTTTGTTACACGCCACTTGAACCATAACACTTCAGCGCGGTGGTATCGTCACAGCATCGTCAATTACACGGAGACATATTCGATCGTGGCTGTGATTATGCTCTGGTGTGGCTCTTTTTTGGAGAACGTGACGAGGCGTTGCCGAATGTCGATGATAGCACCGTGCTCCCTCAGGAAGTCCATGCCAATGATCGGGTCTCGAGAACACTGACGGAGAACGCTCAAGCTGACAACAAAGGTAGAACCACGAATCTGTATTCGAGCTGCGCAAAGGCCGAGTGGCGTGACGATGTGCCCATTAGCAGTACGAATTGGCCTGAGGTTCCAAGGCATCGTCACTTTTTTGAGGAGAGCAGCTTGTTTTTCACTTATTATAGCAAAATCCGCGCCCATGTCAACTAAAGCACTGGCTTTGCGACCGTCGAGCAGCACTGGAATGTTTAATGAAATCTTTGCGGAACCAGATGGTGTCGTCGTCATCGGGGTATCATCGTCAGTTTGCGGAAGCGTTCGTAGGAGGCCTTGAGCTTGTCCAGTATGGGCGACCTCACCCCCGAAGGTCACTGTGGTTAGTTTTCCCGGCGTGGACTGGGTGACCGACCCTGCGCCACACTCAAATAGGTACGGCGATTATGAGAAATTCGCCATGGTGACGGGGAGCGTGACTGGTGCATGGATGACGAAGTTCCACGCTGCTGAGCCACATACTTTTCAATTTCAGGGGGCCACTGACCGAACCTGGGTGGCGGCGAGTTTGTCGAAAATCCGCGTAGTCCAAGTTGTCGGTAAGAACAGTGTCGGTACAGATTCCCAGCTTCGCCACAGTAGAAGCAGAGAGGACGTTGATCTGGTGCACGCCAGACATCTGATTTCCGCGAGATCAGGCGTGGTGCGCTGTAATATGGCACCACTTGGACCATCTGCAGCATGGCTGGGGCTACGGTAGGAGACGGACTTGCAGTTGTAACAGGTCGCCGCAAAGCTTGATTATACGACATGCGGGGAAGTCACTGGGTGGTTGATAATCCCGCATGAAAGGCTGGTTCTCTTA